GATATGGTTATTGGTCTTTGAGCCATATTAGGATAGTCTATTAGGTTTTTCTAGTCTTTCGCTATAAATATGTAATTGGTCCTTCATTCATAATCAGTGAAGAAGAATATTAAGAAACCCTTTCCTAAACCCTATTCTCCCAATACTCTCAATTCTCGTTCCCAATCCCTCTAAAGGCCTAGGCCGATTCTCTATCTTTCTCTTCTCAAATCCCTAATTCTGTTCTAAATCCCTAAATCCCCAATTCTGTTCTAAATCCCTAAATCCCCAATTCTCGATAGAACCCTAATCGTAGGTTCTATCAATTGGTATCAGAGCCTCCAATGAGCTCATCATGGCTCTCTGAACCAGTGTGAATCCGTATTCAATGGACCCTTGATGCTATTTGCGCTGACCAAGCCGCGACGGCGCGCGCACGAGACAGGAAGGTGGAGGCGGCGTGTGACCCGGTCAAACTACCAGCGGCGCGGCCAAGGCAGGCGTTGGCGGAAGAGCTGCCGTGCGAGGAGCCGCCGCGCGATGAGACCACTGTTGTGATGGCGGCGGCGACGCAAGAGAGTGGAGGGAACGACGCGGCGCGCGAGGACTTGCCGGCGTCGGGACGGCCGAGGCGGCTGACGACGGAGGGCGACCGCGGGGTCGTGGCTGTGGTGGCGGTGCGCGGCCGGGTGCTGCGGACCGAGGAGCGCGAAACGTCGTGTTTGGCGGAGGCTTTCATTGCGTCGCGGAGTGGAGGTGAGGCGCTGCTGAGCTCGACGGGGGACGGCGGGGCGGTGCGGGCGGAGGAGGAAGGAGAGCGCGGCGGGGCGCTGCGCCCCGAGACGCTCGACCAGGCGGACGCGCCTGCGGCGCGGCAGCGTGATTCGACGAGTTCGACGGCGAAGGCCGACGGGGAGTCTCCTCGTGCGACGGCTGAGTGGAAAGTGTTACGGGAGGAGGAGACGCGGCCGTTGGAGGCAGCTGTAGATCCGGTTACGTCTCCAGATTTAGAGAAGGAGTCGTCGGCGATTGCGGGAGACGCTTCGAGGAAGAAGAAATCGGAGAAGACGGGTGGCGACGAGTTTCTACTTGCAAAGCCTATGTCGCCACCAGATTTTTGTCATGGGCCTGGAATAAAAGAAAAGAAGGTTGGGCTCTACACAGAGCCAAAAACCTAAATCCTAATCCTCTCTCTTCCCTCTCTCTAGCGAGCTCTCCCCCTCTCTCTTTCTTCTCCAAAGCTGCGGCAGCAGCACCCTTTTTTCCCCCTCTCCTTGTTCTAAAATCCCCAATTCTAATCCCTAATTGATCTAGCTAAATTCCCCAATTCCCATTCTGTTAGAAACCTTGTTTCTAACATCTGGTATCAGAGCCTGGCTCGAGAGTGAGTTCCTCTGAACTCTTGAACCAGGGAAAGCAACGATGGTGTCGACGAAATCGATGAAGGCGGCGGAGAAGGTAGCGCAGGTAGCCGAGAGGAGCGCCGAGACGGGCGGTGCTGGTCTTGACGGGGTGGTGATGGAGGACCTCACCGAGCTGGAGGCGGTGAAGGTGGTAGTGCACGATCACTCTGATGCGCTGGCTCGGCTCGAAGAGGGCCTGACAAGAGTGCAGGCTGATGCGAAGGAGGATGCTGATGATCTGCGTCAGAGGCTGGAGGACCTGATGAGGGCAATTACCTCGTTGCAGGCAAAGGGAAACGGACCAGGGAGAGCGCTGATCCCGGCGGAGCCGACGAACGAAGGAGGCGGCGGCCCTGGTGCGGCGGAGGCGGCGGCTGGAGGTGGGTCGACCGCGGCGGTGGCGCTGGCGGCGCCGGTGGGTGCGACGGCGGCGGCGGCCGGGGTGGCGGTGGCTCAGGCTGACACGCCAATGGAGACGGCCGAGGGGAGCAGGGTGGCGGACACTGTGCCGGGTCGGGCTGATCAGACTGCAGTAGGGTTGGGCTCGGGCCTGCTACCGACACCCACGGCCCAAGAAATTGCAGCCCGAAAGGGAAAGGCTAAGATGCCTGGGTATGACACAGATGGGCCTCCGATGAATGGTGGGCCGGGACAGTTGGGTCACTACACGAGGATCCATAACGGGCTGGGATGGCTGGATCTGGAAGATGGGCTCGAGTATGACAAACTGAGCCTGGCGGGTCAGCAGGCCTAGTGGGCTGAACAGGAGATGAACCGGAGGGGGCCTGGTGGGCCGAGCAGGGCCGCCGACCAGATGGGGCCAGGCGGGTCGGCTCCTATTGGGCCGGGACAGGTGGACGGACCAGGGGCGGGTCGGACCGAACCTGAGCGAACCGGGATCGGGCGGACCAATGCTGACCGGACCCAGTTGAGCCGAACCGGACCGGTCGGGCCGGGATGGGTCGACCCGAGGTGGGTCGAACCAGGCATCGACCGAGTCCTACCGCTCAGCCGAACCGGCGGTTGGACAGCAGGGGTCCAGGAGGAGGGGAGGGCCCGTACGAGGCGCCTCAGGTCCCAGGGGGATACCCGAACCAGCCCGGCGGCTACCCGGGTGATTATGGGCACGGGAATCCAACCCAGATGCAGTGCTCTCCGTGGGGGCAGCCATGGTGGACGCCAGGAAATGACAGGTATGGGTCCCAGTACTCGAACTATGAGGGAATGGATGGGATAGTTTTTCGAGCTAAGCCTCCTACCATTGAGTTCCCCAAATTCAATGGGCAGGAGGATGCAGGTCTTTGGTTGTATGCAGTTGAGAGGTGGTTTAAAAATCACCCAATTCCGGAGGAGAGGAAGGCCTATTTGGCATCGTTCTATCTGGAGGGCGATGCGCTCCAATGGTGGGAGTGGATGGAGAGATCCTAGGCAACGGCAGCAACCTTGATCACCTGGCCCATGTTTCAGGAAGAGCTCTGCTATCAGTTTGGGAAGTCAGAGGGGTGGGCTCCTGAGCAGCCGGCGAAGCTGAAGCAGACCGGCACCGTGGCTGAGTACCGTGCAGAGTTCTTCAAGTTGGGGAACCAATGTAAAGGAGTCTCGGAGGACACCTTGGTGGGGCTGTGCATGGCGGGTCTCAAGCCCGAGATAGCAGCAGCAGTCAGAGTGTTTGAGCCCGATTCTGTGAAAACTGCTTTTCGTCTTGCAGGTCATAAGGAGGAAGAACTGGCTAGCTGGAGGAGCACCATTGGCCGCTTCTCCAAGCCGAGTGGAGGAGGAGGAGGCAGCGGAAATAGTGGCGGCACAGGAGGGGCGCCTGTGGGAGGATCGACTGGGGCCAACGCTGGCAGTGGAGGCCCTGCTCCGGTGGCCAGGATGGGGCCGCGGGCCATACCAAAGGGGTTCGTGCGACTGACGCCGGCCGAGATCGAACAGAAAAGGCGGGAGGGCAAGTGCTTCAACTGTGATGGCCGGTTCACCATTGGTCATCAGTGCCCGAAGCCGGATTTGATGATGTTAGTTGGGCGCTGGGAAGATGAAGCAGAAGATGAAGCCGAGGACGCGGGAAATGGTGAGGAAGAGACCTAGGAAGCTGGAGGAACAACCTTGAGGACAAGGTTGTTTTTCGAAGGAAGCAGGGATGTGGGAAACACAATTATTTGCAGTTTTTGGTTATTTCGTATTAGTGTCGGTTTTTAATGATTGGGGGATTATTTGGGTATTTGGGGAATAAACAGGGAGTCAATTGTTACGTTTTATTATTCGGGTAGCAGATAGGAATTAGACAGGTTATATAATCTGTAATAGTGGTCTTATTTTGTGATTAAGCAATTACAGAGCCAAAAACCTAAATCCTAATCCTCTCTCTTCCCGCTCTCCTGCGAGCTCTCCCCCTCTCTCTCTCTTCTCCAAAGCTGCGGCAGCAGCACCCTTTTTCCCCCCTCTCCTTGTTCTAAAATCCCCAATTCTAATCCCTAGTTAGATCAATCCCTAATTGATCTAGCTAAATTCCCCAATTCCCATTCTGTTAGAAACCTTGTTTCTAACAGTAGACGTGAAGAAGTGGGTCGAGTTGGTCAACCTTGAGGACAAGGTTGGTTTTCAAGGGGAAGGGGATGATGGAAACCTACTTTTTAGGTTTAACCATAATTATCAATATTAATGTTATTAGGATTTATCTAGATATGGTTATTAGTCTTTGAGCCATATTAGGATAGTCTATTAGGTTTTTCTAGTCTTTCGCTATAAATATGTAATTGGTCCTTCATTCGTAATCAGTGAAGAAGAATATTAAGAAACCCTTTCCTAAACCCTATTCTCCCAATACTCTCAATTCTCGTTCCCAATCCCTCTAAAGGCCTAGGCCGATTCTCTATCTTTCTCTTCTCAAATCCCTAATTCTGTTCTAAATCCCTAAATCCCCAATTCTCGATAGAACCCTAATCGCAGGTTCTATCACAAATGACCACCCAGATAAGCACACTGCAGGTGACCGTGAATGAGATGCGAGCTGAGTTTCGATCTTTCAGTGGAAGATACATGCATGTCACTGTAACTTCCGACTAACATAATGCTAGCAACACCAATGAAGAAAATGTGGATGAGAGAGAGAGGGGACAGGAGTAGGAACTCGACGATTTTAGATTGTGTGTTTTTATTCTTAAGTTTTCAAAACGATTGTGGATTAATATTATGTGATTTTAGATTTTAGTTATGTGTGAACAATTATGATTTGTGTTTTATTGTATTTCATGTTAGTTTGTTTAGTTGTTATGTTATGAAGTTATGAGTCATTGTTATCATTATTTATGACTGGTTATGTTGGTTTGAAACGTAATTTGTATGAGCAAAAGAACCACCCACATCGCTTCCCAAAGAGATCGACCATTTGCTATAAAATGTCAACCGCGTCGTTGAACCTCACAAAACCGAAACGACACATTAGGTCGACCTAAAAGTGCAAATTAGATTGACCTAATCCTATATAAGATCGATCTAAAGTGCAAGTTACGATGACATACATGTCATCATAGGCATAGCAAAGTCCAAACAAATAATACATTTAAAAATTAAAATGACTATTACCAAACATCTACATTTCTTAATTAGGAGGAATTACTCATTCAAGCAAGATTCCTACGATCCACATCCCACCAACAATCTGATATTCCGTATCCCACTCAACAATCTAATTTCATTTATTTAATCGATTTAATCCAAAATTATACACTCGTGAATTCTTGATTAGCTCCATACAAGAGTTATCACGGGAGAATCACTAACAAGTAACAAGCAATCTAATCAAAGCCAACTGACAAGTTACAGGAGAAATTGAAGTTAGACCAATGCTGTCAAAGCCGAGCCGAGCTGGCCGGTCGAGCCGCCAAAACCGCCATCCGGCAATAAAACCGGCTCGACTCAACTATTTAGCCGGAGTGGTTATTTGGGGCGGCCGGCGAGCGGCCGAAGCGGTTAACCGCTCGAGCCGCTCGGTCGGCTTTTACCATTTGGGTCGGTTGCTTTAATTAAAATATATATATATATCAAAAATCAAAAATGAAAATGAAAATGAAAGGGGAGGCTGCTGTGCTGAAAACGTAACCCTAATTCATTTCTTCCCCCTTCGCGCAGACAGTTAGACACGAAGAAGCCTCGACTCCGCAGTCTCCGTTCCCCGTCGCTGTTCGCCATCGCTCGACGGCATCGCCGTTCGCCAACGCTCGACGGCATCGCCGTTCGCCAACGCTCGACGTCGTCGCCCTTCGCCATCGCTCGACGCCACTCCCCTATCGCCTGTCGCCATCGGCGGCGGCGGCGGCGGCAGCTTGTTCCCCATTCCTGTCGGCGAGCGCAACGGCCAGCCGGTGAGGTCTCCCTTCTCCCCTGCAGTCACCTTCTCCCACTGCTGCTGCCTCTCCCCTGCATCGACTCTCTCCCTCTCCCCTGCTGCCTCTCCCCTGCATCGACTCTCTGCCTCTCCCCAGCTGTATCGACTCTCTGCCTCTCCCCTGTTGCCCTCCCCTTCAATTTCTCGACGCATACACCCAGGAGAACTTCTTGTGGTAAATTACTAAATTTACATGTGCTTTGACCTTAATTTAATAATTTCAGATAAGCATAAAAGAAGTTTTCTTGTGGTAAATTACTAAATTTACATGTGCTTTGACCTTAATTTAATAATTTCAGATAAGCATAAAAGAAGTTTGTAATGGTTTACTAGGTACCAGTTCTCAAACAATTTTTAAACGATCAAATGTCGGTTGGACCACTAAAGACCGAGCCGTTCACCTTACCGGGTCATACTCCAGCTCGACTTTGACAGCATTGAGTTAGACTCGACGGAATGCGACTACTTTCATGTCGCAAATTTAGAGGAACGCCCGGGAAAAAGCCAATGAAAGCTGGTAACCAACTAATATAACACTGATTTCGTTCACTTGAATCAAAACAGGGACAGCTCAACCATGTCCTCAAACAGAGTAAGAAACATAAAAAGCTGCATATTAAAACTTCTGAGCCAACTTTTAATACAGCTAACAGAATCAACCAAAATCTGGAAAAAGCTTCTTCCACTTCGCTAACATCTAGTATTTTTCACTCAACCAGTAATATTCTGAGCCTTGTTAAGGATGACACCCTCGTATTTGACCTGGAACCATTTCATTGCATCATCCTTTGTGACTCGGTGCTGGATACCAACGCGTGTCTTGCATCTACGGCGCCTGGCAACACGGTAGCCCGCTCGCTCCAGGACAACATAGAAGTCCATACCATAGATACCAGTGGAGGGATCATACCTGATAAACAAGCAGTAAGAGAATTAGGCTCCTAACATAGAACGAAGTAATGAACACCACTAACTGCACACAGCAGTGGTAGTGACTCTGGTCCATGGCAGGGAAGGTTCTTTGAAGAATCAATTATTGTATTGATAAAAGAATCCATCCAAAAAATAGATAACTTTTGCGGAGATTAACTAATATGACTGCATTGAAAACATATCGATGAACAAACAGAATACGGTCAGACTACATTTGCTACTAGTAGCAGACACACTGGAACAGCAAGACAGTAATATTTCAAGGTAAATGTGTCTACTGGTCCCTCTTAGTGAGGTCTATCAATTTCATCATACCATCTCAACACCCATCTGATACTTATCGAACTAGAACATTTGCATAAAACCACAATCCAAAACCATGAAACTTGCAACTTCGGGAAGACAACAAACATCAATACACAAGGAAAAAGAGCAAGCACTCAATTTGGGTAAAAGTACTTACTTGATACCAAGATCAATGTGCTCCTGAATACCAAACCCAAAGCAGCCAGTATCACTGAAGTTTCTTCGCAGCAATTCATATTCCTTGACTTTCAGTCCACTCTCCAATAGTTGCATCGCCTTGTCCCCTCTCACAGTGACATAGCAGGCAATCTTCTCATTACGTCTGATACCGAAGGACCTAACAGTGTACCTTGCTATTGATCACAAGAGCACAAAGTTAACTCCAATGGCAGAAACAAAAATCCCAAATCGTCTACAAAAACATCCAGCCAAATACTTTCAGAGTTATGAATGCCTAAAATTATAACCAATAGAGACCACTATCCTCTGAACCTTAATCTCCATGCGAATGGAGGCTCTGCTCATACATGAACAACATAAGTGCACATAATATTAACAATAATCTACAAGCATTTTATGACCCATTTCATAGCTCCGACTACCCATTGTAAAGCCTACTTAGGATAACCCAATTAATCAAATCAATTACGAGCTCTACTAGAATACCTTCAATCCTAAATAATAAACACAGATCCAGTTCCAAAGACCATCATATTCAACCCAATAACAAGCATCAGAAAAGAAAAATAAAAAAAAAGAAGCACCTTTGGAGTAAACAGGGGTTTGTCCACTGAGCTGTTCCAGCACCTGTTAGCAAGGAAACCAAGAACAGAGAACCATCACCAAAACTGAAATAGACGCATCCAAGAAAAAACAAGCGGAAGAGGAAGACGAAACCTTGGCGGCTCTGGTGAGACGATCGCCACTCTCGCCGACGGAGATATTGAGGACCAACTTCTGAACCTTAATTTCCCTCATAGGGTTACTGAGCTTCCTCTCTGACGCCTGCGTTCGAGCATTGCACCGAAGATTTAGAAGTTAGTCATAGCTACATAGCAACGTTAGAAGATAGAAACAGAAAGGAAGAGAAAAGCGAAATGAGAGACACACCATTGGAGAGCTTCTTCGAGATGGCTGGAGAAGAACGATTTGCTTCCGCCGCTGTGCGTAGAGTGAACGACTCGAACTCAGAGCTATCGAACCCTTAATTATACTAGGGTTTTCTAAGCCTTGCTCCTTCGGGGAGTGGCAATTGACGGTATTGTCCTTCTTCTTTTCCCGTTTTTCCAATACTATCCTATTTCCTTTTTTCGATTGTTTCTTTGGATTAGAGATGTCAATCCAACCCGTAACCATGGGTACCCTACCCGACCGTAACCGGTCAACGAGGGTAATTACCCACTTTGACGGGTTAAGGGGCGGGTACGGGTAATACCCGGTTTCAAAATAAAGGGTAGGGTACGAGTATGATAATCGATAATACCCGCCCCGTTATACCCGCCCCGCTAACCAAAGGGTCAATTTCCCTTGAGAAATTGAGTTTAGCTACCATTATTGATGATGAAGATGTAGACAATTATTATGTTTGCTGTTTTTATTTGTGTGGATTGTTGAAGCTAGAACAGTTACAAGTATTGAGAATTTTTAATGGACAACACTATGTGTGTGCATATATGTGTATAAGTTCATAGTTTAGCATTCGTACCCATGGTTACCCGAATACCCGTGGTTACCCGGTGGGTAGGGTATGGTTATATAATTTTCATACCCGGTGGTTATTTGGCCGGATATTTTAGAAAACTCTACCCAGCAGGTTAGGAGTTGGTATAGGGTAAACCCGCACCCGACCCTACCCATTGCCATCCCTACTTTGGATTAATACCAGATTTGTTCATTGGATTTACTAAAATGTGTCATGTTTAGTCATTAGAAAAAATTTATATCAATAATGATCACTAAGTTTACTAAAACAAGTCATGTTTGGTCTTCCGGATTTACTAAAATGTGTCATGTTTAGTCATTAGAAAAAATTTATATCAATAGTTTACTAAAACAAGTTATGTTTGGTCATCCTTCTTTAGTCTCCGTCCAACTCCATTAATAGAGTTTGTTAACTGCTGACGTGGCAAACAAAATCACCTAGTCCGTTGGATTTAACAAAAGAAATTGACCCGCCATGTCATTAAAACTACCCTAACTCATGACCCAACCCTTTCTCTTCTTCTCTATTTGGCCCGATCGACCCGAACCTTCTTCCTCCTTCCTCTCTCTCTGAAATTTCTCATCTTCCCCATCTTTCCTCTCCATATCATGTCACCTCCTACTCCCCCGCCATCGCTGCCTCCTGCACCAGAACCACCTTGAAGTTCGTGAGTTAACAGTAAGACCCCCACAAGGATCAAAAGTCAGTCCAACGGCGAGTGCTCTACCGCCACACCTCTTCCAATCAAATTCGAACCATTCTCTAGTTAATGGTTTCCCTACACGAATAGCCAAGGTATCATTTTGAAAAGAGCAGCGGGTGCAACAAATCAAGCCGCCAAAACATATGATAGTCTTGTGGCATTGTAGGTAGTAGGGATGGCAAAAATTTCCGTAACCGTGGATATCCGCCCGAATCCGGCCTAGTCGAGTAGGGTAAAACCCGAATCCGAAGGACATTTAGTGGGTACGGGTAAAACCCGAACCCGAATATTGCGGACAATGGGTGGGCATGGGTTTCTCACTATCCGACCCGAACCCGCCGATTATACACATGCATATGTATTTTGTCTAGAAATAATCATTATTTTTCTCTAACATATTTTATATTTAGCATATAAATATAACATTTTCATGGAATTGTGTTGTTTTAGCTAATTTTCTTCATTCTAGTGAATTCTTGTCGTACTTTTTCTCTTACTTAATATAAGAATATGTGTGAGTGTTAACATATTGGTTGGGGTAATGAAGAGAAATTAATATCCATGGATAACCGTGGATACCCGAAACCCGAACGGGTATGAGCATGGTTTTGATTTTCTACCCGTTTCACATGTGGGTATGAGTATGGGTAAAACCCGAAGTACTTTGGGTAGGGTAACGGATATGCACTATCCGCCCCCGACCTGACCCATTGCCATCCCTAGTAGGTAGCAGTCCTTTATTGCAGATGGGCTCTGCTATTGAGGTTCCAACAACAAATTACGTTGGATTGATTATCGAACACCGATTCAATTCGATGGTTTCTTCGTTCTGCTTTCAATGAGACACACGTTGGGAGCTAAAAGATGATGCATCCAGGTAGTTGTCACACTACAATGTGCACTATGCGTCTCTCGGAAGTATATGGATGGGAGCTCAGCCTTCTAGCCGTCCAGAGTTGATGCTTCTCATATCATGAACTGAATTCGTCTTCCCCACCCCCAAACCAAGATAAAAGGTAATATGTTTCATGTCTAAAATTGCTTCATTCATCATGGTTTTAACTTTTGCTCGCCAACTGATTGGAATTCAATTTCTATTTATCTTCATCTAGGGCAAAAAATTAAAGGCGATATTGAGAAGACTTGAGGAACTGGCTGAGACTTTAGAGAAAGGCCTATCAGGAGCTAGTCAAGATATCGCGCCAAGAAACGAAACAAATGAACCCTTATCTTCTTACAAGGTGCAGGAGGCAGCGGCCAGCGGGTAGCGATGGTGGTGGAGTAGAAGGCAACATGATTTGGAGAGAAGAAATATGGGGAAAATGAAAATTTTAGGAGAGAGGAAGGAGGAGAAGGTTTAGGTGGGTAGGGTCAAATAGATAAGAATAGAAAGGGTTGGGTCATGGGGTTGTGGTAGTTCTAATGACGTGGCAGGTCCGGCTTTACCTTTTTGGGTTAAATTCGATTGATTAGGCGATTCGTTTGCCACATCAGCACTTAACGGACTCTATTATCGGAGTTATGGAGACTAACAGGGAATGACCAAACATTACATGTTCTACTAAATTTAGTGACCATTATTAATATTAATTTTTTCTAGTGACTATACATGACACAGTTTAGTAAACCTAGTGACCAAACATGGCATTATACCATTTTTCCTTTTCACACTTTTCCAAGGTGTCGACTTGTCGGTTAACCCATTTTGACCCACACCCGTTGATAAAAACGGGCCGCACATACCTGCCAGGTCGACCGTTCCAATGTTGCCAGATTGGAGGTCGCACAGTGTCATATTTTCATTTGGTTTATGAAATGCCCCTATTTTTCGGTTTTTCTCTTCGCCTAACTCTATCTTATGAATACTAAGTTGAACATTTGAATATTATTGTTGTATAAGTGAGTATAAGTGTACGAATTTTCACTATATGTTGGATCCAAGTACGACTTGTTGTTTTGGTGTAGTTTTATATGTTATTACTCATATGTTAGATGAGATTATATATAATTTATAAATATATGAACAATATAATGCATTTTTCATTTATTCGAGCTAAGATTGGCTAAAACAGCCGGACCAATAACCATCAACCAACTTGCTCGACCGGGCCAATGGGCTAAACCGGATTGACAACCTAACACTTTTCCCTTCTTAGTCCTCCACACCAGTTCCTCCTACTTCTCGTCCTGGTAGGGCTGCAAATGAACCAAGCCGCTCGTAAGCAACTCAATGTTCGAATCGGAAAAAATTGTGTGACACTCGACTCATTATCTAACAAGCCAATTTGCGAGCCGACTCGTTAGTAAATGAGTCAAGTCTGAGCTTGACCATGCTCAACTTGATGAGCTCATGAGCTAGCTTGACTCGGTGGCTTGTTAAGCTAAACTTGCAAGATGGCTTGTTTAGAGCTTGTGGAGGATTAATTACTGTTCTGAACATAAATATTATCTTGTTAATACGGATTTGTATGGAAGGTAGTTGTTATTTTTAGTTTCTAGTATTCTTTTTATCATTTAAATTCTATGTTTACAAAACTTTCAGCCAGAATGATTTCAAATCGAGCTCGTCTTGAGCCAAGCTTGTACTCAGCTTGACAAGCTGTGTTAACGAGCCTTTACGGAGCTCTGACTAGATTATTTTCATTCAAGCCGAGCATGAGCTTGAGCTGGATTGTCAAAATTCGAGTTTGAGGCAAGCTCGAGCTAAAAATTTTATAAAGAGCCGAGCTCAAGCTATGCAAAAACTTGACTTGCCTCGGCTTGTTTGCAACCCTATATACTAGTGTTAACAATGAGTCAATTAGGGGCAGATGTAATTGTTCAATACCCGCCCATCGAGAATTTGGTTAATATCTAAACCCGCCCAAATTGAATGGATGGATACCAAATGACATAAGGAGATTTTCTCCCTCATAGGTCAAAAAGGCCCAAATTGAGGGATGAAATCAAGAAGCACAATCATAGGTTTGTCACAAGCATCAACAAACAATCAAAAATCTAGAACTAGGGTTCATCAACCTAAGTGAAGGAAAACTAATTCATAAAGAAGAGGAGAGAGAATGCAGTATAAGCTTAGAATATTCAATATTCATCTTCTAGTGGATGTTCTTCAAGTTTTAATGGTGATTTGATCCTCTAAAATAGCTCCTAGAACCCTCCTTGGTCTCCCCTATCTCTCTCTCTCTCTCTCTCTCTCTCTCTCTCTCTCTCTCTTTGTGTGTGTGTGTGTGTGTGTAGAATTGCCCCTTGGGTGTTTTGGGGTAAAAAACCCCAGCTCCCCTTGCTCAAAACCCGTTGTTGTCAATTTATACTCGTAGTAGTGCAAGGATCATGTTTTTGGTGTTAACTTCACAACCATGAAGTGTGCAAACAGTGATCTCACCATAAAACACACCGTTTTGTGCACACTTTACGATTTTGGTGTTATTTTCACACCCTCGGGCAGTGAAATGTGCATAGCCTACGAGATGAACATAGGCTGCTGGAAATTTGTTATCTTCAGGGTTTGGGAGAGATTTTCACTCCCTCGGGGTGATTCGGGCCTAATTGCACTTGTTCTGCCCCCGTCTTACTTAGATGTTTGTGCCAACTTCGCTCCTTAAAGGTTGGTTTTACGCTAGGTTCTTCGTGTTTGAGTGTGTTTCAGGATTTAACAGGTGAAACCAGCCTCGGAGTCGAAAGATTGGCGAAAAGGATCGAAAACCGGGAGAAGAGGTGAAAAAGAGCCAGTTGACGGCTAACTAAAGGAGTTCAAGGTCATGCAAGACCGTGAAGAAGGGGAGTTGACCGTGAATAGCGAGGTGTCCAGAGCCAATGTGAAGGTTACTGACGCGAGGTGAGTTCACGGTCACTAAGACCGTGAACACATGCAGTTGACCATGAATAGACGTGAGCGAGCGGAGCGTTTTGGCACAAGCCTTGAGTTCACGGACGCGTTTGATAGTTCACGGCCGTGAACTCAGCTCTTCTCGGGTTTAAAAGATGAGTTGAAAGGAGGAGAGAGGGGAGAGCCCACTTTTGTGTGAAACGACTTCTTCAACAATCTAGTGAGAGAAACAGAACCAAAGGGAAGAAGAAGGTTAGGGTTTGGCTTCAAGGCAGATTTTGGGAAGATTTCCCACAAGGAAAGCTCAACTCAAGGGTCAAGAAGAGAGGGAGCCTCCTTAAAGATGGTTTCCACCTTTTTACCTTTTGTTCTTCCCACTTCTAGCATGGAGTAGACCTCCTTTGTGTAGTGAAACCCTAACTCTACCATGTAGTTTTCTTGTATGTGTTTTGGATGATTGTCATTGGGTATTGTTCAATTCAATGATTGAGGCATTATTCACCATGATTGTGCATGCTTGTGCTTAGCAACTTAGGGGTTGTGCATATTTTATGCTTAGCATCCTTATGTTTGTGCATTTAGGTGCTTATCAACCTAGGGATTGTGCATAATTGTGCTTAGCACCCCTAAGTTTGTGCATTTAGGTGCTAGTAATCTAATTTGCCACCTTAGCCTAGTTTAGAGAGGAAAATCCCCCTTTCAAGGGAGACTCAACCGAGTTAGTTTTCCTTCCACTTTCTAAGCCACCTAAATTAGGTTGAGTTAGGGTAACCCTCAATATTGAGTTAAACAAGTCGATTAATCGTGATTAAACCGTCTGACCTTAGAGTTGAGTGAGGGAGTAAGTCAATTAGCGATTGTCTAAACCGAGAGGGTCGAGTGACACAGCCTTTCATCCTCACCTCGGTTTAGCAATTGAGACTGTGGTCTCCGACCACATATGCATTCCTCTGCGGTTCACGATTAGCGTGCCCAAGGCAATCATTCCAATCCACATAACATGGTAGCGGTTAGGGGGAAGCGACACCCGAGTGACTTTCCCACAAAAGAGTTTTCAAACCCAATCACCTTTGCTTTCTTTTATTTCAATTAGCAAACCTTTTAAACCAAAGTTTAGTTGCTAGATAGTGATTTCAACAACAGAAGTAGGGATAGACGGACCGACCCGGGTCGATATCTAAATACTTGCCATATATTGCACCCGATTAGAGTTTAAAAACTTGGGCTCTAATTGGAGTTTTATTGTGGTGTAGTTTCGTGTGAGTCACGGGGCGTGATCCTAACACCTAGCCCACTAACCTTGCATCGACTCCATTTTTTTGGCTCGTTTTGACCACCAAATGTCGCGAAACTCGTCCCGAACTTCCCACACCTACTAAGACCTAAAATGTGAAAAAGAAGCTCAACATAGCGTCGAATAGGTCAAGGAACGATGATTACAAAGTTAAACAATCAAGATATGAAGGGGTAAAACATGTATAAATGCGCCCGGATCATTGTTAAAATTCATCTATTTGAAAAATGAATAATTGAACAGTTAAAAACGAATAAGAATTGTGAACTCTTACCACTTTCATAATCAAGTTGGTCTGATCTTATTTATCATCAAATTTGTATATATTTTTATCACTTTAATATCTTATCCAATCTTCATCACAAATCAAGACCTCTACAATGATGGGATTCAATGAAGATCTGAACAGACTAAGCACTTGACCTCCACAAATGAAAAAGACCTTTGAGGCAACACAGGAGATTGGAACAACTAGGATATCCTTAACCATCTTTAATAGAATGGGATATCTAAGATTTTTCTTACTCCACAACAATTTGTCAAACTTCCTATCATCATCTTTAGGGATGGCACTGGGTCGGGTTGGGTCGCGTTTTGCCAAACCCAAACCCAAACCGAAACCCATGGGTTTATCCGTGAAAAAAACTCGGGTTAAAACCCACTAGGTTTGAAAAACTCAAACCCAACCCAACCCGCTGGGTATCCGTGGGTTCAAGGGTACCCACGGGGTTTTGTCGTAAAAAATTTACAACAACAAGTTCCTATAAAAATTAAAGTCAAATATCGATCTCTCAATACAAATTATCCATATATAAAACACGGGTTGATTTCATGGTTGGTCATTGAGATTACAAAAAATGTTCATGTTTGGTCACTGAAAATATTTAAATCCAATCTTAGTCACTCAAATTAGTTAAATGGTTCAAGTTTGGTCACTCTCCGTTACCTTCCGTCAGTTTTCGTTAACACAGTTAGTTATTTGCTGACATGGCTAACGGAAACGCCTAATCAGCGATTTTTGACCCCAAAAAATTAAAACAAAACCCTTCAGATCAGCAAATCCCTCCACATGAGTTTCCCCAACCCAGCTTTTGACCCGACTCCACTCCACTCCCCAACCCAACCCTTGACCCGACTCTTCCCAAACCCATAATCGCCATATTCCAAGATGGAAGCCAGTAAAGGTCTGCACCTCTTCATCTTCCCCAACCCAATCTTCTTCCCCTACCTGTTCATCGTTTCCATCAAATCCAGAATTAACACATCAACTAACAAAGTCAACTACAATTAAATCCATACCTCAATCAATAAAACCCAAATAATATTGTGATTTAATTGTAGCTAAAACCCAAACAATACTCAAACACCAAACAGATCCAAGAAATGATAAAGAACAGAGGCCATTTCGTCATATACCTTGCACGCAATAACAATTCTCGGCCTCCTTGCGAACGACATCGAGGACGAAATCGATGAGCTCGGCTCCCTCCGTGTAATGACCTTTTGCCCAATTGTTCCCGGTGCCGGACTGCTCGAAGACGAAGTTGTCGGGGCAGAAGATCTAGCCGTAAGAACCAAATCTGATGATGTCCATGGTACTATGCTCCATATCCATGAGCACGGCGCGAGGGACGTAGCGGCCGCCAAACGCCTCGTTGCAGTAGACATTGATCCTCTCGAGCTGGAGATCGGAGGCCTCATCGCCGTTGTACCTTCCGGTCGAGTCGATGCAGTGCTCGCTGCAGATGACCTCCCAGAATTTGGAGCCGATTTGGTTGCCGCACTGGCCGCCCTCGATGTACAAGAAGGAATGAAGGGTATGGATTTAATTGTAGCTGGCTTTATTCAGTTGATGTGTTAATTCTGGATTTGATGGAAACGATGAACAGGTAGGGGAAGATGATTGGGTTGGGGAATATGGAGAGGTGCAGACCTTCACTAGCTTCCATCTTGAAAGATGGCGATTATGGGTTTGGGAAGAGTCTGGTCAAGGGCTGAGTTGGGGACTGGAGTCGCGTCAAGTGCTGGGATGAGGAAAACTGATGTGGAGGGATTTGCTGATCTGGAGGGTTTTGCTTTAATTTTTTTGGGTAAAAATTCGCTGACTAGGCGTTCCGTTAGCATTGTCAGCAAATACCTGACAGTGTTAATGGAAACTAACGGAAGGTAACGGATAGTGACCAAACTTGAACCATTTAACTAATTTGAGTGACCAAGATTGGATTTAATTATTTTTTAGTGACCAAACATGAACATTTTTTGTAATCTCAATGACCAACCATGCAATTAACCCTATAAAACACCATTCTAGAAAATTCAAGCAAATCACAAATTAACTATACAAATTGTTCAACACCAATCTAGAAAACTCAAGAAAATTGAAGCAAATCACAAATTACCCATAAATAACATGATTAATTGAAAGCTTATTCCTTTCAATTAAGTTTCTTCACTCTCCATTCGATAACATCAACTTCATTCTACACATTATAAAAGAAAAATTAGACATGTCTCCACAAACATAAATAAGATTAGTTGTTTAGAATATTAAATATACCAAGAAAATTAACTATATGGGTGTGGGCGGGTACCCATGGGTCGGGTTTACTGATAGACCGTTAATTACACATGTTTTCACCCCTATTCTTGAGCCGTTTGAGGTGTTGATTCTCGTGTTTTAGGCCGATTTCACGCTAGGTTGTGCTTGTTTGTGATATTTCAGGTCCTAGTAAGTGAATGAAGGTTTAGGAGCGAGTTCGGGGTCGATTGGACGAAGATCGGGCGCGAGGCCAGCCGCTGAGGAAGCCACACGGGCACACACAAACCACACACGGCCGTGCAAGTGACCAATGTGGCCGTGTGGGATTGTGCGAGCCTTCACACGGGCACAAATAATTTCCACACGGCCGTGTGAAGGAGCAATGTGGCCATGTGGAATTATACGAGAGCAAACACGGGCAGGGCTGAATTTCCACACGGACGTGTGACTCTGGCCGTGTGAGAAGCCTGAAGTTTGACTTATCGAGACGCGGCGTTTTGGAAGCCACACGGTCAACTGGGTATGCCACACGGCCATGTGGCCTGCCCGTGTGATCGGAATTTTCAGGTTTTTACCCAATTTCGGGCCACAAGTGAGAGAATCAATTTTCTGGAGCAAAAACAGAGGTTTAGAGAGAGAAAGAGCGAAGAACAAACCCTAGGAGCTATTTGGAGTGGATTTCTCACCGATGAAGCCCAGATTGCGTCCCCAGAAGTGAAGATTGACATCCCAGAGCAGATTTTCCTCATCTTTATGAGTATGACTACTCTGATTTCTGTTTTCTTCTCTCTCTCTCTATGGAGTAGAACCCTTCTCTCACTTGGGTATGAAGAACCCTAGTTCAATGTGTTAGGGATTTGATTGTAATGACTTGGGATGATTATACCGTCTGGTTTTAATCGAATGATGCATGTTTTATTGAATTGATTGAAGTCTGATCAGCTTTTCTTGATTTCTGCTGCAACCTGAGATAGATAGAATCTGATTAGGTTGTTAGAGCTTCTTCATTCGATAGTAGGAGATTGGTTATACGAGAGTTAGCCAGTCTACTGCTTTGTACTGGAATCCAATTCTAGTAGTGGAGTTCTGTGCTCATTGCTTCAGCTTTCTGTCTCGGTGAAGACTAGTCGTCTGCCGGGTAGTTAGACTGAGAGGGCTTGGTCAGCTTAAGAGATTCCAAGCTACTGCCGGATCTTCCGCAGTCTAATCAACAGTAAATCAACCCAGGGTAATTACAATTGAACCTAACTAAGGAGCTAGGGGGACTCATTTCCCGAGTGACTCTTCCCTGCTTGAGAAAACCGGACCATTTCCTGCTTTTTACTGCTTTAACTTTAAACAACAATCACTCGACTTAGTTGGCTAGATGATGACTCGATATTTGCACATGTTTTCCCCTTTGTCTCTTGATCGTTTGAGCTTTAATTATCGCATCTTTGGCCTATTTTACGCTAGGTTGTGTTCCTTTGTCACATTTCAGGTCCTAGCACATAAAGTGAAGCATAGGCGCAAGTTTTAAGTCAATCAGAGATCAATTGGCGATTCGGGAGAAGAAACTCGGGCATAACCTGAAGAAGAATGGATTTCTACCTCACTTTATGGACAAAGAATCATGCAAGCTTGTCATGAAAAGAAAGAGGATGAAACTACGAGCGTCTGGGATCAAACAGCGACTGATTCGGAGTCCGGACGAGGGAGAAACGAAGCATTGAATATAGGGGAACAGGTTCGGCAGTAAAAACACGGGCGCGCCAAAATCAAAACACGGTCGTGCCCATATTTAGGCACGACCGTGTTTTGGCCGACGCGCCCGAGCGGGGAAAAACACGGGGCAAAACACGGGCGGGCAAAAGCAAAACACGGTCGTGCCCTCGACCGTGTTTTGCCCAGAATCGGGTTTTTTAACCCAATTTCGAGCCAAAGGAGAGGGAGAGCTGGGTTTTAGATCCCAAACACCCAAGGGACGAACCAAAGAGAGAGAGGGCGATTTGAGGGCATTCTTGGAGTGGAATTGGAGGATTTCTTCGCCTTGGAAGCTCGAGGAACAAGCCCGGACTTGAAGACTGATCATCTGAAGATTCTTACTGCAGTCTCTCTCTTCTCTATGGAGTAACTTCCCTTCACTTAGGTTTTGAGAAACCCTAGCTATGTTTGTTTGATTTGGTGATTGTATGAGTACTCTTACTTGATAATCTTGAGTTCATATTCAATCTATGCATGTTTTCATGATTCAATTCTGCTTTAGTCGAGATTATTGATTCTGCTTTGATCCTATGAGAGCGAATACCTGATTAGGTCAACAGAGCACCATAGATTGATAGTATTGGATCGATTGCTTTAGTCGAGGGTTGATTCAATGCTTTGTATCGATTGAGAAACTCATTCGATAGAGGGAATCTAATTCAGAACGCCTTGATCGGTTGTTCTAGAGAAGGATACGTCCCTCTAGGCAATTGACTCAAGAGGGCCTTGTTCCTTTAGTCGAGACTCAAGGTCTAGTCAATGATTCTCTGCATTGTGAACGAAAGTGAAACAGGTTAGAGATCATCAATCATTAATCTGCTAGTGGCTAGGGGGAATCATACCTAAGTGAGTTCCCAACCTGTAATTAGATTAACTTTAACTGTAGTTTGCTAGAGTAGTTTTAGTTCTTTCATCTTAATCTGGTTTGCTAGATAATGAACTGAAGCTGAGTAATAGTAACTCTAGAGACCTGTGGATTCGATATTTATTACTTGAGCCACTATATTGCAGTCCCTTTCATTGGTTACACTTGGCCATTGTTAGGAGTTGTGTCATAGCGAGTCAAGTTTTTGGCGCCGTTGCCGGGGAACTTTCTAGAGTATTAGGAAAGGCAGAAGTTTATTACTTTAGCTTTTTTATTTTCTTTTCTTTTCCACTCTTGCTTTTCACTTGGGTGTTTTCGTTTTTGTTGGTGCAGATCTGAATCATTGATCCCCATGGCTTCTCCAACCATTGGGGGTATCCACCACCATCCGAGTGGTATTACCCTGAGACTCCCTGGAACAATCAAGGAGGAGAAGACTACGGATTCGGGTTCCAGTACCAACCCCCTTACTACGGAGAACAATCTGACCCCTGGGCATATCAAGATCAACCTCATTATCAAGAAGAATTTCTCCCACAACCAGAAGGGCCATCGGAGTTTGAGTTACCCATGGCGGCCTTCACGGGCCATTCTGCAGAGCCATGCTACACTCCACAGCCAGATCCAAACTATGAATTGAGGCTTCTCATGGAGCAGTTTGCTCGAGATTGTGAGAGATTATGCTCCAGGATGGATCATTGTGTCCAGGCCTATCGTGAAACAGAGGAGATCCTCCTGAGCCTTAAGAAGAGCGCCGATGATCTTGAGCGATCTTTCGCACAACCTGCTCCAAATCACCCTTCTGCTACCATACAAGAAGAGGAGGAGGAAGAAGAAGGCTACAAAGACATAGTGGAGCACACTGAGGTTGTCACGGAGAGCTCCCGTGATGATCATGATCAGGAATGTCATATCATAGCCGACTACACCTTCCCACATCCCAAACTGAGCTTTGAAGAGGCGGGCATGAGTGAGGAGATGCAAGAAGATCTCATGAAAGAAATTGCTTGGCAACTTGCTCTCCAATCCGTGCTAGAAGAAGAAGAGCGAGAAAGGGTGCAGAAAGAAGTTGTGGAGGATGACGAAAGTGAAGCAGAAGGAGTTCTTGATCATTTCCCAGGGGTGATACCACTTGAAGAAGAAGAAAGGGAGGTTGAAGAAGCAATTGGTGTCCAGGCTGAGGATGAAGTTGAGGTGGAAGAGGCTTGCACCGGCACTATAATACAAGTAATATCCCCACCAAACTTCGAGGAACTGCTTAGCAAGGACCCATTTGTAGTGTCTCTTTGCCAGAACAAGGCCACATCGACATTGGTCCCTCTTGGTGGATGCGATGGTGGTCAATCGATGCTGTCATATCTGGTTTGGGGCAATGAGACGAGAGAAGAGAAGAAGAGGTCTCGAGGGTGGAGACTTCATCTGCATCAAGTGCATGAGCCTTCATCACCTGCCACACCACGTGCTCGTGACTTGAGAATCCACCTCATCGGCGAGAACCTCAACTTCAAGGAGGTTCTGGGGTGGATCGAAACTTAGGAGTCATCATTCGGGTGACGACGTGAAAGAAGCGCTTGTTGGGAGGCAATCCAACCAGTCGGTTTGCATTTCTTTCTCTTTTTCTCCTCGGTTGAGACAGTTTTGTTATTTGATTTTAGAGTCAATAACTCA